GTTAACATCCACACATCTTTTTTATCTCGCCATCTCAATGCCAATAAATTATCTGTACATCGGTAGTCAAATTTTCCTTTTCTTATATTTCCCTCGATATGGGGCATATCTTTTCTATTTTTCCGTACTGTTCCAAATGCATTTGTTTTATGTTTGTGTAGTAAATCATATAAATGTGGACTTGTGTACCAATTGTCTGTTATCACTGTATGACCTTTCCCAAAATATGGACGTAAAAGCGTCTTGATAACATTTGCCGATTATCCAATGGTTGTAAAATTACGCACAATATCTGTACTTTTTTCTGGTGTATATTATAAAATCTAGTACACAGTTAGTTGTGCAATAAATTATTTAATACCAAATCTGCTTCTTTTAGAAGGAATAAATTGTTTAAAATAACATCCTTTGAACAACATAAGACTTTCGTCAATGCCCAAATTTTTGTACGGGTAAAATGATTGTGAGAAAGAATTCTTGGTCGTATTTTTATTAGTGGATCATCACTTCTTACGTTATTATTATTAAAATGTAACATTTGCAATAATACCGTGTATCTGTCTCTTCTCATAGTTTTTCGAAAAAATATTGGTTTTTCATTATCTTATCAGTCGATCAATACTCATTTAGAGTCAATTTCTTCATCCGCGGCATTGACATTATGATGACCAAAAATCCATACATCTCGCATATTGATATGTGTGCATATTTCCAAGAATTAGTACGAGAATGCGTTTTAGATGTAGTATTTTCGATCACAAATTTAAAATAATTGTTCGTCTCCTCTGTAATATGAGAAACTAACTGTTCTGAAAAGAAAAGTTGGAAAGCATCTAAAGGTGTGGATTCTGGAGTTAAATTTCCTTTGATTCCAGAATTTTGATCGTTAAGTGCATGTATTATGGGTTTGAAATTGTCCTTCGACCATGATAGTATTTCAACATTGAAAGCATTTCATCCGAATCGAAATTCTCTAAATTCGAATTTGAATTTAAATCCTCATCTGTAGAAGTACTAAGTATTCTTGGCCGTTTATTTTTCCTTCCCAACTATCCTATCATTGATGCTGTTTTCTCTATCTTCCGAATCAGATATGAGTGGAACAACGTTTCCTGCATTTCCACCATTATAATCTTCACTCAAATCTGATGTTTGATCCAAGTCACTGTCGTCTCTCGTAACAAATTCTTTAAAACTACTACACATTTTTAAGGTATAAGTAATTGACTAAGTCACGAGGATTGATTCTGATGTAACTTATTCACGTTCACTGTGGCGGAATCGAATTGACGGGCTAGAATACTGTTAGAAAATAACTGTAGAGACGTGTCGAGCGAGTGCTTTTATCTTTCGGTGATTGCTTTGTTCAAGCTTGCTCATTGAACGCGACTTTATCTATCAGGTAAGTCGGGAACCTTGATCCTAGATTGCAACGATAGTAAATTACGGTACAATATTATATTAGGTGAAAACTTATATTACGGTACTATTTATGGTGGATGCTGTATATCACTATTTGTGTCTAGGTGATGACTGTGAGCATTTTGTTTCTATTAGGAGTTGTCTTTTTATTCCTATTAGGGAAGATATTCTTTGGGAATATTTTTAACAAATATAATAATATAAAAATCAAATAATAATATAAAATAATATAAAAATCACATGCACCACAAATAATATTACAATATGCTAATGCAACAATCACAACTGGATGTCTGCAGATGAAACGTGTTTGAGATACAGAGAATATCTGACGAAATAAACAAGACTTTGTTTTATCTCGTTGCTAAATAACAAGGTATGTGGTTTCTGAGAATGTTGGATATATATGATAGAAAAAATTGCCGCATATAAACATCAGATAATAGTAACCAATCAAAGCTTTCGCCGGGCGCACATTTGCGCTTATAAGCCACACTGATAGTCGGTTTCCATGTCTATGGAATGTAGAAGGTAACAGAATGTCACGCTTTTCTTTTCATTTCAAAATTGTGATCCCTTCTTTACTCTCTTGGCGGCACATTCTCCCCGTTTCAGATTTTTGGACACCACTTTTTTCGGATTATCTTTGCGGTTATTTCGGAGAGTACCAATCAAATGGGTATTTTTTTCGATGAGTTTTTTTGGCCAAATTTACACTAGTGTACCAGTTGTTCGTGCAGAGTGTATGGCCTTTGTGGAATATACCTTCGCATAAATTGATGATTATACGTTGGCGTCGTATTCGCTTCGTCGAAAGTTTTTCCACTGTAGACACGAAAGTTGTATGTATATCCAAGATCGCAGCTGAGTTTGAAAATTTTTATTCCATATCTGTGTTTCTTCTGCTTCGTGTACTGTTGGAATATAATTCGTCCACGAAATGGGATCATTGATTCGTCAATACAAATCAATTCCGTTGGATGATAATACTTTTAAAATTTTCATTCAACTCGTCGATAATTGGCTGGATTTTCCACAAACGGTTGGTGACATCCGCTGTTTCATTGTTTGTAATACGAAGCATCTTCAAAAGGATCTCGAATCGGTTCCTGCTCATTACTTTGTGTGGGAATGGATGATAATATATAGGATCCTTGGACCAGTATAAAGTTGTGCATGGATATTTGACCAGTCCCATAATGAGCCCAAGTAAGCGCTTTATTTCTTCCTTCTTG